TTTCTGGAGGAATTGTGCAGTTTCTGAGGAACAGAAATATTGTTTTCTGGAATCACTTTAACTTTTTACAGGAAAATCTGCATTTCGGTTTGAGGGCTCAGAGACCCTGTTACTCTGGTTCAGACTACACCCTGATATATATATATATATATTATGTTATATTTAATATGTTATCCCCCTGGTGAAGGTGAAGCTGTGTATATGAATATATATATATTATATGTATATTATTTAAAGCTCTGGTGGAGGTGAAGCTGTGTATATTAATATATATATGATATGTATATATATATATATACATATCATATATATATTAACATTTCCTATATATATATATATTCTGTATAGCTCTGGTGGAGGTGAAGCTGTGGGCGATCGACCGGCAGTGCTTCCAGACCATCATGATGCGGACCGGTCTGATTAAACACGCCGAGTACATGGACTTCCTCAAGAGGTGACCGCATCACACAGAGCACATATTCATTCATTATTTATTATTATTTTTAGTGATCTATTTATTTAGTTTTGATTTGTTTTTGATTGAGCTATTTTTATTATTTAATTTTGAATTAGTTATTTTTTGTTATTATTTGTTTTAATGTTTTTTTTATATATATTTATATAATTACACAAACTAAGCCTCTTTTTATTAGATTTGTTTATTCGTACATTAATTTACTTTTTTATTCAGTCTTTTATCTGCATTTTTAGATTTATTTGACCTTTTTATTACTTTATTTGTTTATCTGCTTTTTTGGATTCACAATTTATTTTGGTTTTGTTGTTGTTTATTTACTTCTATAATAAAGTGTTGTTTCCTCAGCGTTCCCTCGTTCCAGGGCCTGTCCGAGGAGACTCTCAGTAAACTGGCCGACGTCATGGAGGAGGTGAGAACTAAACACGTTAGATTTTAACAAATAACAACAACAACAACAACAAATATAAACAAACATTTGCTGTGTTCAGACTCACTATGAAGACGGGGAGTTCATCGTCCGACAGGGAGCGACAGGAGACACCTTCTTCATCATCAGCAAGGGGAAGGTAATCTGTTTAATTATATTATACATTCATTATTATTAATAACTCATTAACCTGTCAATCACCTCGTCTCCAGGTGAACGTGACCCAGGAGGATCCGGCCAATCAGGAGACAGCTCACCTGAGAGAGCTCGGCCGTGGAGACTGGTTCGGAGAGAGAGCGCTGCAGGGGTGATGACATATATTATATTATATTCAATTATATTAAACTGGGAGAAGTGGAAATGTTCAGGAGAAAACAGTCAGAATATTTAGGAAAAAATATAAATATTTGGAGGAAAAACACGAAATATTTCTGGAAGTAATTTTAGAAATTAAAGAAAAACTAAGAGAAAATATTTGGAACATTTTATGATTTCTTGAGAGGAAAAAAAGGGAATGTTTCAGGTAAAAAAAGCCGAATATTTGAAGAACAATTGTCAAAATTAGAAATATATGTAATATTTTGTGTTGGAATATTTCTAGAAAAAATCATAAAAATAAAATGTCAGTATATTTAAAATAAAAGTCAAAATATTTCCATAAAACACGTTTTAAAGTACCTTTAGAAAAAAAGATGAATATACTGATTGATGCACATTTAATCAGTTAATGATATAAAGATTACTCAGAGAGATAAAGGGACATCACACTGAATATAAAGTGTTGTTCACATCTGTCTCTTCACATTGATGACTCACTTTACACCAATAAGATATTAAATGCACAACATACTAAACAAGATGTTGGAAACACTAGAGATGAACAGAACACAGGTCTGTTTCTTTAAACTTAAAGGAATGTGACGTATTGAACCTTTAAATCAGCCGCAGTGAAACATACGTGTTATACAAAATGTCTCCTGAGCTTTTCTGAGACCTTTCTCCCTCAGTATCGACTGAGAGGAACTCAGCACACGCTAAGAACACGCTAAGAACACGCTATCAACGCTAAAAGCCCCGACGCGTCTTCAGACATGGACCTGTTAGTGAGGAGGAATCTATACAGTCCCCACGTGTACTGCCAGACCAGCGTGTGTGTGTGTTTGTGTGTGTGTGTTGCTGCTAATGGTCTGAAGCCTCAGGAGAGACGTTTACACCTCCGCTCAGATCCTCAGTTTCCACTTTAAACCTCCTCTCCCCCGAGAGTCTTTTTAACTGCAGTAAAATACGACTGCTGCACACGCTCTGTTTCTCTTTTAACTTTACTTTATTATTATAAGAAAGAACCACCAGGAAAAGGGTTCAAAAGGGATAATTACAAGATGGAAAAATACAAATACTACGATATAAAAGTACGACTAGAGGAGAGAGAAAAAAAGCTCTGCTCTCAGAAATCAGTTGATAAACTATGGAAACAATATTCATAGAATCTTTGAAAACAAATCTGGATGTTTTGGAATATTTGGAGAAAATATTTGGATTATTACAAAATATATTTTGGATTATTTTGATCAAATATTTGGATTATTTTTGCAATATTGTGTGAGAAAAGTGTTTTTATTAGGAGGTAAAAAGTAAGATTTAGTTATAATTTAAAAATGATAAAAATGAATAATTTACTAATGTTATTTTTCACAGGGAGGATGTCAGGACGGCCAACGTCGTCGCGTCGGACACCGTCACCTGTCTGGTCATCGACCGCGAGTAAGTGACCCTTAGATAGAGAGAGAGATAGAGAGATAGAGAGATAGAGAGATAGATAGATAGATAGATAGATAGATGGATGGATGGATGATGGATGGATGGATGGATGGATGGATGGATAGATAGATAGATAGATAGATAGATAGATAGATAGATAGATAGATAGATAGATAGATAGATAGATAGATAGATAGATAGATAGATAGATAGATAGATAGATAGATAGATAGATAGATAGATAGATAGATAGATAGATGCTCTTCCAGAGGAGCAGAGAGTTCTCTTCAGGAGGAGATTTGTTATTAAGTTATTGTTGTGTTTCCTGTTCTCTCTTTGTGACAGCAGGAAATGAACTCAGTGTTTTCTGTGAAATGAACCTTTAACCCTGAGCTTTAGAGCCGCTGCTGCCCTCTGCTGGTCACCACCTCCAACTACACACACCATTTATCAAGTTCTATATTTGTATTTGATATAGTATTGTTTAAGTTATTGATTTAAAGGTAGTATATTTATAGTATAACTGTCTGCGTTCTGATTGGCTGTCTGCAGCTCCTTCAAGCACCTGATTGGTGGACTGGACGATGTTTCCAACAAAGGATACGAGGACGCTGAGCTGAAAGCAAAGTGAGTTCATCTGCACGTAATCAATATGACCGATGTCAGGGTGTGGATATCATACATCGTCAAGGGTTACCATTTATCTTAGGTGTTATTGTTTAAATTGTTATTTTTACATTTTATCAGGAGCAAAAAGAGGTTTTTAAAGATCATTGACTGCAAAGAAATATAGTAAATAAATAGTAAATAACATAATAAATAATTTCTATAACTCAATGACTGAATAAAGAAAACAGAAACTTTTCATGTTAAATGTAATGTTCAAAAAGCTCTTTATTGTTCTCACACTGCCTGTGCTGCAGCTCCTCTGCTCACCCTCCGTCTGAAACCAGAGCTGCTCTGATTGGTTAGCTGGCCGGCTCTGTTGTGATTGGTCAACCTGCTTAGAGATGTCCCGCCCCCTTAGCCATCACGCACAATGTGTTGGAGCGCTGGAGCGTGAGTGTTCCTCAGTGATGTCACCATGTTCCAGAGGTAAAGACATGGGTCCAATGGGGGCGTTTCAGACGGGGGGGGGGGGGGGGGGGGGGGGCATGTTGATCCCGTGTTCACAGAGTAACACGATCCTGTGATTATCTAATAAGAAGCTGCAGAGTGCACATCAGCACTGAGGCTTCATTCAGTGTTACTTTAAAGGTTACTTCATATTTACTTATATTTGAACATGATATATATTATATTATTGTATGTATATAATATCTTTCATATGGTTGTGTATGTTCATATTGTTATTTCTTAATGTAGATTATGTTAAATATCTTCGATTGTGTGAAGACAAAGAAACCTTTGTTCTTTTCCCATCAGCATCAGTGAGGTTTCTTTATCACTTTTTAAACAATCTTACAATTCTTTAGACTTTAGTAAACTATAAAAGGTGATGTTTTGCATTAAGAGAATATGTAATGTATAAATATATATATATGTATGCAGTTTGAGTTGTGTGGCAAAATATTATATTTCTTCTCATTAATGTGGGAAAACGTTCCATATCTCTTTATTATATATATCTATGTAATTATTATATAATTTATATTTATTGTTAATGTGCAACTGCAAACTCTGAAGGACACGCTAATCTCTTTTTCATTTGAACAAACTATTATTAGAGTGTTTATGTGACTGCAGCTCCTGTGTCTGATTCCAGGAAGCACACACACACACACACACACACACACACACACACACACACACACACACACACGCACACACACACACACACACACACACACACACACACACACACACACTCACACAGCACACACAGCACACACACACACACACACACACACACACACACACACACACACACACCACACACACAGCACACACACACACACACACACACACACACACACACACACACACACACACACACACACGCACACACACAGGTTGTGTTTTGTCTGAGATGTTGGAGGTGGCAGTCTCCTCCGCGCAGAACACAAACCCCATGTTCTCTTTCTTTGATGCAAATGTGTGACTTTAACAAGAAAATTGTTGTCTTTTATATCTTAGTAGATATTTGTTCCTTTTATATTTGGAAGTTTTTATTCTACATTTACGACTTTTTCTATTAAATTCTGATTTATTTATTATTTCTTTCTGAATATCACCTCCTCCGGCTCCAATATTTATTTATTTATCCATGAATCAAAGTAAATCTATAAGTCATCATGAACACATCTGTCCTCTGGTCTGAGGTCGGGACAGTGTGTCCTGTCTGTCCGTCCGTCTGTATTGAATGTCTGCGTTCACTGAGAGAACCTCTGAGCAATGTTTGCACCGGCTAAAAATACCCTTCAGCAGCCAGGCGGGTCTTCTCCGGCTGCGTGACGGTGTTTGGACATAAAGACGAAGCTCCCGGAGGTTTCCCTCAGTCTCTGCTTCGCTCTGTTGGACGTCCTCCAACTGAGACGCCAACAAACGCCTTCGAGGTCCTGGACTCAGAATCCCTTCAATCTCTGACGTTTGGTGTCTCTGGATCAGGACTCTATTTACCCTTGATGCCCTTTGAGCTGGAGGATCTGGCAGCCCCGTTGTGGCGCTGGTTCCCCCCGACCAGAACCTCGCTCCCCCCGACCAGAACCTCGCTCCCCCCGACCAGAACCTCGCTCCCCCCGACCAGAGCCTCGCTCCCCCCGACCAGAACCTCGCTCCCCCCGAACCGAACATCGCTCCCCCCGACCAGAGCCTCGCTCCCCCCGAACCGAACATCGCTCCCCCCGACCAGAGCCTCGCTCCCCCCGAACAGAACATCGCTCCCCCCCGACCAGAGCCTCGCTCCCCCCGAACAGAACATCGCTCCCCCCAAAAAAGACCTTGTTCCCCCCGACCAGAACCTGGTTCCCCCATTGGCGCTCCAACTGGAGGTCCAGACGGCTCTGCTGCAGACGCTCTGCCGGACCTTCTCCTGAGGAACCAGAACCGGCTCTAATTAGACGGGTTTCTTCACACTTTTGTACTTTTTTGACCAAAGGTTTGGACGACTCTGAGGTCCAGGTCTTGTTCCAGTCCTCAAAGACTGCAGGGTTATATTATCGCAATCGTTTTACGTCCAAACCAAGTCTTTGGTGTTAAACCAGACTACAGACTTTCTCTGATCTTTCTATACAGACCACTTTCATTTGAAGCCAGTTTCAAACCATTCTTTGCCAAATGAAGAATACTTTGATATCGCTCTCTTAGATCACAACTAGCTTTACGTCATTGTATTACTGTGTTAGATTGAGACCAGTTTCTAGTCTGGATTAGTGTGAGGAAAATCTTCCTGACCAGTTTGAAGCCAGGTTTATTCTAGATGATATTAAAACCAGATTCATTTTAGCTTCAGATTAGATTGAAGCCTTTGGTTTAAGGGAAGTTTAGGCCGTTTTGATTCATTTGCAACCATTTGTTTTAAAACCCAGTATCATCTTTAGACCACTTTAGGATCAAGAGGAAGTACACACAGTTGGAAAAAACGATTTAAATTCAACGTTTTCCACTTTGGTCCGTTTTTTGACCGAGGAATTGGACGACGGTCATCTGCAAGTCCTACTCTTCTCAAAGACTGCACAGAGTTGATGTCTCTCTGGTGGTGAACTGGACTAAAGACTGCACAGAGTTGATGTCTCTCCGGTGGTGAACTGGACTAAAGACGGGGAGGAAGAACGAGGTGTTTTCTGATCCGTGGGTTAAACAGAGTTTAGAGATGAGGGAGCTGCTTCCCCTCCCGCTGAGGCGGCAGAGAGCTGCGTCCTCCCCCATCACCTCCTTCTCCATCCACACCTCCAAGAAGTTCCCCTTCTTCCACGTGGTGAAATGCTGCAGGTACCGAACCACCGTCCGGACAACTGCTGGCTTTTATGTTGATATGAAGATTCTTAAAGCAGACCTGTATATTCACTGAAACTGTAACGTGTGCAATAAATGAGTTCTCTAAGAGTAAAGGCGCACTGTTCTGTGAGTATGGGTCTGAAGCCCTACATGTACCTTGACTTTTACCTGCTTGATCTACAAGGCTGTTTTAGAATGTCCGGATGATGTGTCCTATAATATATATCTATGTCTGGATGATGTGTCCTATAATATATATCTATGTCTGGTGTGTGTTTCAGGTACGAGGCGGAGGACGCCTTCTTCTCCAGCCTGAAGCTGACCGACTTCAACATCATCGACACGCTGGGGGTCGGAGGCTTCGGACGCGTCGAGATGGTCAGTTTATAAAACTATAGAAAGTTAGATTTGAATAACATATTGATCTTTATTTATACTGATGGGTTTAAGATGTCCTTCTTTATTGGGGGAGACCGGAAAGACTGATCAGTGTGATCCACTTTCAAATGACATTTAATCACATTATGTATAACCTTCTTCAGAGTGTGTTGAAGCCAGTTTCAGACTGGACACATCATACATTATCATTTTGTAAGACTCATTTCTGTTTCCAGTTCAGGGTCAAGTCATTTCATGTGACTGTGAACCTTCAGACATAGCGTGTGTGTGTGTGTGTGTGTGTGTGTGTGTGTGTGTGTGTGTGTGTGTGTGTGTGTGTGTGTGTGTGTGTGTGTGTGTGTGTGTGTGTGTGTGTGTGTGTGTGTGTGTGTGTGTGTGTGTGTGTGTGTGTGTGTGTGTGTGTGTGTGTGTGTGTGTGTGTGTGTGTGTGTGTGTGTGTGTGTCTAGGTGTGTGTGGGCTATTTGCAGTAACTTTCCACTATCAGTGCAGGTAACTGGAGACCAGTCCTCATGTGATCAGAGTCTCCTCTTCAGTAAAGTCTCAGGTGTTAAACTTATTAACTAATCATTCAGTTATTTCATCAGTTGAATTACCACAGCGTCCTTTGATTGCATCGTGTACAATATTTGTTAAACTGTGTGCGTACATAAGCAGTGGTGCAATGGGGGGGGGTTAGGGTACTGAAGGTCTGGGGGGGGGAACCCTGCAAAGGGTTTGCCCAAAAACAGGAAGGAATCCCCGCAGTGGGTCTCCCAGCATGCATCTGGAGATATTTTAAGCTTTTTACTTACTATGCTAGCAGTTTCCCTCCGTTTCTATTCACTATGCTAAGCTGCGCTAACCAGCTGTTGCATCATATTTACTGACACGAGAGACGAGTCCAGAAATAGAGGAGTGTGTCATGTTCTATATTAAGAGGTGTGTGTGTGTGTGTGTGTGTGTGTGTGTGTGTGTGTGTGTGTGTGTGTGTGTGTCTGTGTGTGTGTCTGTGTGTGTCTGTGTGTCTGTGTGTCTGTGTGTGTGTCTGTGTGTGTGTGTTGTGTGTGTCTGTGTGTGTGTCTGTGTCTGTGTGTGTGTCTGTGTCTGTGTGTGTCTGTGTCTGTGTGTGTGTGTCTGTGTGTGTGTGTCTGTGTCTGTGTGTGTGTGTGTGTGTCTGTGTGTGTGTGTCTGTGTGTGTGTGTCTGTGTGTGTCTGTGTCTGTGTCTGTGTCTGTGTGTGTGTGTGTGTGTGTGTGTGTCTGTGTGTGTGTGTCTGTGTGTGTGTGTGTGTGTGTGGTCTGTGTCTGTGTGTGTGTGTGTGTGTGTGTGTCTGTGTGTGTGTGTGTGTGTGTGTGTGTGTGTGTGTGTCTGTGTGTGTGTGTCTGTGTGTGTGTGTCTGTGTCTGTGTCTGTGTGTGTGTGTGTGTGTGTCTGTGTCTGTGTCTGTGTCTGTGTATGTGTGTGTGTGTGTGTGTGTGTGTGTGTCTGTGTCTGTGTCCGTGTGTCTGTGTCTGTGTGTGTCTGTCTGTCTGTGTTTGTGTGTGTGTGTGTGTGTGTGTGTGTCTGTGTGTGTGTGTGTGTGTGTGTGTGTGTGTGTGTGTGTCTGTGTCTGTGTCTGTGTCTGTGTGTGTGTGTGTGTGTGTGTGTGTGTGTGTGTGTGTGTCTGTGTCTGTGTCTGTGTGTGTGTGTGTGTCTGTGTCTGTGTGTGTGTGTGTGTCTGTGTGTGTGTGTCTGTGTCTGTGTGTGTGTGTGTGTGTGTGTGTGTGTGTGTGTGTGTGTCTGTGTCTGTGTCTGTGTCTGTGTGTGTGTGTGTGTGTGTGTCTGTGTCTGTGTCTGTGTGTGTGTGTGTGTGTGTGTTCCTATAAGTTGTTACATAATGTATTTTATTAACCTTAGATGTTATCAATAAAGTCCGTACAGATAGGCGTGTGTTACTTCCTGTGCAGGTGGAGCTGACTTCCTGTCTGCTCTTCTTCTTCTTCTTCTTCTTCTTCTTCAGGTGCAGCTGAAGAGCGACGAGGCGAAGACGTTTGCGATGAAGATCCTGAAGAAGCGTCACATCGTGGACACGAGGCAGCAGGAGCACATCCGCTCTGAGAAACACATCATGACTGAGGCGCACTGCGACTTCATCGTCAGGTCAGAGAAGCACAGCATCGTCTTCATCGTCTTCATCATCTTCATCATTTTCATCATCTTCATCCTGAATTTCCCCACAGGGATGAATAAAGCTCCATCTTATCTTATCTTCATCTTCATAACTGGTCCATTTATATTGAACTCATTAGTTGAATATACATTTGATGTTTTCTTTTGATATAATTCATTTAGTTATAAACATAAATATCTTGTATGAAGGAATGTTATCCAACTATACATTACATTTTACTCAGATCATTCCTAAAGTTTAACACATTTCAAAACAATATCTACTTTCAAAACTCAAATGTGTTTCTTTGCTCCTGGATTTCAAAATAAAAGCTTCCCTAAAAGAGAGTTTGTTTGGTGTTTGGCAGCATTGCTAAAATGTTGTCACTTAATATCACAATTCAAATATATTCACTTCCCCTGGTGAACAATTAGAAACCGGGAGGAAAATGATATCGGCTATTGTATTAAATACAGATGAAATAAATAGGTAACACATCAAATACTTTAACAGCAAACCTAGTATTTGTCTCTACATATGAATGATGTTTGTTTTCTGTTACTGCAGGCTGTACCGGACATTTAAAGACAGTAAATATCTGTACATGCTGATGGAGGCTTGTCTGGGAGGAGAGGTGTGGACGATTCTCAGAGACAGGTACAATCTTTCATTTCATATGTAATCTGCATTTACTGCACCTGTGTCTCTGGGTTAAAGGTTGGACCTTCAGCCTCCTGAAGGGGTTCAAACGTCCTCAGATCCCTCAGCGCCTCACAGTTCCTCCACCGTTGTGTTTTTCAGAGGTTCGTTCGAAGACTCGACCACCAGGTTCTACACGGCCTGCGTCGTGGAGGCGCTCGCTTACCTGCACGCTAAAGGCATCATTTACCGAGACCTGAAACCTGAAAACCTCATCCTGGACAGCCGGGGCTACGCCAAGATAGTAATTACATGTCTCCTCTTATTCTGTCCCTGATGCATGTTCTGTCCCTGATGTTCTGTCCCTGATGTTCTGTCCCTGATGTTCTGTCCCTGATGTTCTGTCCCTGATGCATGTTCTGTCCCTGATGCATGTTCTGTCCCTGATGCATGTTCTGTCCCTGATGTTCTGTCCCTGATATTCTGTCCCTGATGTTCTGTCCCTGATGCATGTTCTGTCCCTGATGTTCTGTCCCTGATGTTCTGTCCCTGATGTTCTGTCCCTGATGTTCTGTCCCTGACGCATGTTCTGTCCCTGATGCATGTTCTGTCCCTGATGTTCTGTCCCTGACGCATGTTCTGTCCCTGATGCATGTTCTGTCCCTGATGCATGTTCTGTCCCTGATGTTCTGTCCCTGATGCATGTTCTGTCCCTGATGTTCTGTCCCTGATGTTCTGTCCCTGATGCATGTTCTGTCCCTGATGCATGTTCTGTCCCTGATTGCATGTTCTGTCCCTGAGTTGTCCTGATGTTCTGTCCCTGATGTTCTGTCCCTGATGCATGTTCTGTCCCTGATGTTCTGTCCCTGATGCATGTTCTGTCCCTGATGTTCTGTCCCTGATGTTCTGTCCCTGATGTTCTGTCCCTGATGTTCTGTCCCTGATGCATGTTCTGTCCCTGATGTTCTGTCCCTGATGCATGTTCTGTCCCTGATGTTCTGTCCCTGATGCATGTTCTGTCCCTGATGTTCTGTCCCTGATGTTCTGTCCCTGATGTTCTGTCCCTGATGTTCTGTCCCTGATGCATGTTCTGTCCCTGATGTTCTGTCCCTGATGTTCTGTCCCTGATGCATGTTCTGTCCCTGATGTTCTGTCCCTGATGCATGTTCTGTCCCTGATGTTCTGTCCCTGATGCATGTTCTGTCCCTGATGTTCTGTCCCTGATGCATGTTCTGTCCCTGATGTTCTGTCCCTGATGCATGTTCTGTCCCTGATGTTCTGTCCCTGATGCATGTTCTGTCCCTGATGTTCTGTTCCTGATGTTCTGTCCACGCTAAGGTTGGCAGATAGCATAACAAATATCAGAAGGAGAGTCGGACACAAGAGTGTAGTTTAGACGGTTGAAATCTTTAGTCTTCTCTTTCCATCCATTCCATATCTTTTTTGTAAAACTGAAACAAAATGACATCTTAACTGCTCACAATAGCTTCTATGCACATCACACATTTCCATGTTAACTTAAGTTGCTTCAACAGTTTGCTATTTATTTCAAACACAAGTTTAATATGTAAAGTCATTCTAAACAAAGAAAAAGGTGATAAAGTCAAGTAAAGGCTTCCAAGGCACAAGTTTGAGAGAGTCCTTCTCCCGAGCCACATGAGAAATAGAGCGGTGCAGGGAGGACGTCTTCACCCTGCAGGAAGCTGCTGGTTCCCTCGTCTCAGAGCCAATGGGATTTCTCCAGAGGATTTAGGAAAAGAGCTGGAAATAAGATCTGTGGAAACGAACCTGTTTGATAAATGCACGTTTTGTTCAGCCGGATAATCTCCACATGTCTTCCCTACTTTTATAATGTTCTAATCATAACTCTAATCTCCAGAAGCAAAATGCTAACGTGATGTTATAAAGGAACTACAGGCGAGTCCAGCAGCACGACTTCAACGTCACGCCAACTTCAGATCCATATTCAAACACACAGATTCTAAATGGTACGAGTTGAAGCGTTTGTTTGAACAGTTAGCAGGAGGCAGGGACTTGCTTTCAAGCAGAACAGGGCTAACTAACTTAGAGGAGTGTTTACGTGTTCGGTGTAATGACGTACAACGGCCTCCACGACTTCTGTAGTCCTATTCAGCCACTTGGTAACAACCATCGTTTTTCAGACACGTGAACTCTTCAGAAATCACTAGTGGGGTCACTGCTGATGGATTTAATGTCCTAGAACAAACCGTGATCCGTCTCTTCAATGTGTCTCAACCACAGACCTTATTTCCAGATATTTTCCAAAATCCTATGGAGAGATCCCATTGGCTCTGAGACGAGGGAACAGGAAGTGGAGAAATGCTGACTCACTTCCTGGTTTTAGGACTCGTCACTGCACCACTCTATTGTTTGTGTCCCAGAACTGTCTCTGCCTTCCTAACCCTATGATCTGGGCAAATCAGAAAACACCAACCATTCATGGCGAATGACCAAAAGGTGGCGCTAAAGACAGTGACCCTTTGGGCAACAGAATGTGTGCCATGACACCTCTTAAAACACATTTACAGGTAGAAGAAGAGAAGAGACCTGTTTGATTCATTCATTTGTTTTCCAGGTGGATTTTGGTTTCGCCAAGAAGATCGGTTTCTGTAAGAAGACGTGGACGTTCTGCGGGACGCCGGAGTACGTGGCCCCGGAGATCATCCTCAACAAGGGCCACGATGTCTCCGCAGATTACTGGTCTCTGGGCATCCTGATGTACGAGCTGCTGACCGGCAGGTGAGGACACTCACAGTGGGGGGGCAGAAAGTAGTAAATGTTACCGTCCAGTGTCCTTCAGCGTCTCTCTGTGTCCGCAGTCCGCCCTTCTCAGCTCCAGACCCAATGAAGACCTACAACGTCATCCTGAGAGGCATCGACATGATCGAGTTCCCCAAGAAGATCACCAAGAACGCCGCCAACCTCATCAAGAAGCTCTGCAGGTAGGAGGGTCTGTAGGTAAAGGGGGTCTGTAGGTAGGAGGGTCTGTAGGTAGGAGGGTCTGTAGGTAGGAGGGTCTGTAGGTAAAGGGGTCTGTAGGTAGGAGGGTCTGTAGGTAGGAGGGTCTGTAGGTAAAGGAGGTCTGTAGGTAGGAGGGTCTGTAGGTAGGAGGGTCTGCAGGTAGGAGGGTCTGTAGGTAGGAGGGTCTGTAGGTAGGAGGGTCTGTAGGTAAAGGAGGTCTGTAGGTTGGAGGGTCTGTAGGTAAAGGAGGTCTGTAGGTAGGAGGGTCTGTAGGTAAAGGAGGTCTGTAGGTAAAGGAGGTCTGTAGGTAGGAGGGTCTGTAGGTAGGAGGGTCTGTAGGTAAAGGGGTTTGTAGGTAGGAGGGTCTGTAGGTAAAGGAGGTCTGTAGGTAGGAGGGTCTGTAGTTAAAGGAGGTCTGTAGGTAAAGGAGGTCTGTAGGTAGGAGGGTCTGTAGGTAAAGGGGTCTGTAGGTAAAGGAGGTCTGTAGGTAAAGGAGGTCTGTAGGTAGGAGGGTCTGTAGGTAAAGGGGTCTGTCGGTAAAGGGGTCTGTAGGTAGGAGGGTTTGTAGGTAGGAGGGTCTGTAGGTTGGAGGGTCTGTAGGTACAGGAGGTCTGTAGGTAAAGGGGTCTGTAGGTAGGAGGGTTTGTAGGTAGGAGGGTCTGTAGGTGGGAGGGTCTGTAGGTAAGGGGGTCTGTAGGTAAGGGGGTCTGTAGGTAAGGGGGTCTGCAGTTAAAGGGGGTCAAAATTCAGTTTCCGTCACCAAAATAAATCAAAGTTTGTGTCCACAGAGATAATCCCTCGGAGAGGCTGGGAAACCTGAAAAACGGCGTCAAAGACATCCAGAAACACAAGTAAGACTGCCAACACCTGATTGGCTGTTTCAGCTCTCACTTAACTGATAAGACAAAATAAAACTAACCTGTGTCTCTGTGTTCAGGTGGTTTGAAGGTTTTAACTGGGAGGGTCTCAAGAAAGGAACGCTGACCCCGCCCATCACACCTGATGTGAGTGCAAGGCCGTCAGAGAGTTAAGCTTGTTTCCAGTCTGCCGGTGTTTCAGGTGTTTGACTCTGCGTTGTTCTTTCCAGGTTTCGTCTCCAACCGACACCAGTAACTTCGACAGTTTCCCTGAAGACACAGATGAGCCTCCACCGGACGACATCTCCGGTTGGGATTACGACTTTTAGTCCAGTATGGTTCAGAAACCTTACACCTGCCAGTGAGGTCCAAACCTGAGAGAAAGACGACTTCTCACAAGGTCGTCATGCACCTTTGCCTGAGTTGTTTTAAAAGCGTTGCTGGACTCTGTGGGAGTGAAACCCTGAATGATCTGAAGCCACAAAGTGATACAAGCACCAAATGTGGAAAATGCAGCAGAGGGAAATCTCGCTAATCAAACAGGTCTTATTAAAAGGAACCTGAGATACCGGAACACCTGAGAGCTAGAAGATTAAGGTAGTCCAAGGACGAGACAAACCACCTGTTCACGCCACTGTTTCCAAGACCAGGGCCACTTGTTTACAAGATCTGCAAATACATCATAGAAATCTCAGAGTGAGGCAATCCTGGTCCAAACTGACCAGTCTGACTTTCACACCTCCAGAAAGTCATCCTCCAGATTTCAGAGAGCTGGAACAAAGACGTTTTGTAAAGCTTAATGTTCCTTTGAACCGAGAACAGCCCTGAGTCCTTGTTTGGCTGCAGCTGAACTTTGGGTATGTCCGTCCAGCAGCAATCGCTCACACAGTTCAGGCTTGCTTTATGTCCTGTGTATTGCTTCAAGACTTCCTGTGCAATATATTGCTGCAAGAAAATTGATTATGATGTCTTTAAGAGAAGGAAATTAGCCCTAAAGGTCTGATGGTAACACATACACGATCTTTGTTTCGGCCAAAGAGTACGAGAAAGTAAAAGTAATTCTTCAACTGCAGCTGCAAGCACGGGTATCTCCACACACCACAGTACAGGCCTTGCTTTAAGTCCTATATAATGCTGCAGCTCTTAAAGGTACCTTAGTTAATGACGACTGCCGGAAACCGGCTGCAAAAACCCTGACACTGAATCGGAGTAAAGCTAAAGAAATCTTGTCACAAAGTGCTTTCCAGAAACACACAAGGATTACGATGTCAACGTGCAGAGTCTTGCACATATTCAACCAAATGGACATACAGCACAGCTAACCTGGGGGAAGGGTATCCCAGTGAAGAGAGAGGCTTACTGGTGTGGTTCAGGAGCATTCATAGGTGGTGGCTCCATGTGGACCGTAGTGGGTTAACCCAGCGACAAAGGACGGAGGGGTTGGTTACTACCTCAGTAAGATGACCCAGAAGTATGGCGTTGGTCTAATTGTGTTTAACAAATGAAAAGACAACATCCTGATCACATCAGAGACAACATGGCGATGTCTATCTGCAGCCAATGGGAAGCCTCTCTCAAGTGTCCTTTCTGGCAATGTGCTGTGATATCCGGAAGCCATTCTGGTTGGGGCTTTCCTGACTCTGTGAAGGTTTGGCTCTCTGGGGTCAGGCTGGAGGAACGACTGAATCTCTGAAGAGGTCACCGTGATGCCTTCTCTTCTCATTTCATATTGGGAACGGTAAATCCAAAGACGGTGTGGCAGCTGCAGCGCTGCGGAGGAGATACGAACATTTCTAACTTTAAACGTTCCTTTTCTCCTTCCTTATGGTGTGGATCATAGCATGAGAAAACTCAGATTTTGTACTTATTTCCAAATGTTCCTACATACTTTTTGCACACATGCACATTTAAATCTTGCAGCCACATGCACGACACAGTTTCATTGGTTGTGAAGTGTTTCAGCGAGTTTAAGGACTATTTCTATTTCCTGTCCGATGATCGAGATATACTTGCTTTTCCGACATGTACTCATCAACTCAACGTAATGTATTTAAAATGATCAAATGCAAATAATAATGAAACTTAAGACAATTCAAAGTTCAAATAGGGATGAATAATAGATTCTTCTTTCTATCTAAGTTCACAGTTTTGTATTTTTTTTGTCGTTACAGTTTAACTTATTCTCTAAATGTTCACAAAAATCGTATTTACAACCAATTTGGACATTATGATGAGTTAAAGGCACATGGTGTTCAGGTTTCATGCTTGCAGTAACTCCGCTTTGACTTGAAGTAGACGTACGGTCTTTGTATTTCTTCCAGAGTGAAACCATATCAACAGATACGTCTATTTATTTATATTTTGTATTAATATTCTGTGGCCTTTCGTAAATGCAGCTAACGTCGTCTCAGCGGTCTGAATCAGTTTCGTGATATTCTGTGAACTCTGCATGAACATATTGGAGCATTTCATTTTCTCCACAAGACGACGGCAGGTTTCAAAGAGGCCCTATTCTGCTTTGTTCACTTCTGGAACATCGTGACATCACTATGTAACACTCAAGCTCCTATAGGGTAGCGCTCCAACACATTGTACGTGATAGGCTAAGGGGCGGGACATCTCTAAGCGGTTGACCAGCTCTGGTTTCAGACAGAGGGTGAAAAGAGGTGCTGCAGCATAAAGAGCATGTCACAGTCAGAAATGCAAATAAAGTCTGAGATTATAAAGTCATACATTTGTTAGAAAAACAATTATACATTTTATTTTGCAAATCTTAGGCTTTGAAGTTGGGGATTAAATTATATATATTTATTTTTTTGTTATCGTTTTATAATTATGCTCTAGTAAATTCTCTGAATATTAACCGGAATATATGAATCTATTCCGGTTAAGAGTCGTAATATTAACTCACCGTCACACTGCCAGCAGACGGCTTGATTTTATATTCAGCTAAAAAACATTTTAGAGATATATATAATTAATAATAAATATTAGTGATGATATTTTGTGGTTATCAGAAGGTATCTCAGATGTATTTGTATATACTGGAAATATAGTATTTTATGATGTGTCAGCTGTTTCTAGATGATCATTATTAGTGGCTGTCATGTTTTTGCCATGTGTTAAAAAAGCTTTATTTAATATGACTGTTACAAATGAAATAAAACACTTTTTGCAGAAGTAGTTTGTTCTGTTTGAAAAAGATATCTGGGCTTTGTTCCTTATTTCAGGTAAAGACACATTTTTGGGGGAGAAATATTTCATATTTAAAAGCCATTTATTTGAAATGTAACTGATGCTTTTTATTGTTATATTTTTGTATTTAGGCTTCATTTATTTCCATATTGTAGTCCTGTGCAGGCAAGGTGTTGTCTACAATATGTTGTACTTTCTAGTTGGGTTGCAATGTAGGGGACTTGAAATCTCCTTGCTCACGTTGTGGTAGAAGGGAACGAGGAAGTAGACAAATTAGCTAAACTATTGTTAAAAAGACTGTCAAAAGACATACAAATACCATTTAGTCAAACAGAGGTTAAAACCATTATTAATGTTCATATACGGAGAACTTGTCAAGAATACTGTGATCTCAGCGATACAGGAAGGCATCTGTCCAGCGTCCAGAAACATGTAGGGGTAGAAGACGAAGCAGGAGCCCACGGGAAGAAAAGGTCCTTACACGGTTAAGGATAGGACACACAGGACTAAAGCAGACACTCCACAGAATTGGCATGCACCCCACTGGACTCTGTACAGATTGCAATAAACCGGAAACCGTCAAACAGACAGTCTTAATAGACTGCCACAAGTACGAAGATGAGAGGAGAGTGCTAGCTACTAAGTTAGCTAACGAAAAACTCAGCCTTACTTTGAGGAATCTGCTAGGGACATCAGAGGAAGTCTTTAAACTGCTGGAAAAAACGTGCAAATGGAGGGGTAGTGTGTAGGGGCTAGGGTGTAGAGGGCGGTTTGGAATTGGGCCTATACCTGCTGCTCCACCTGACTGACCAACACTGTGACCGTGTCTCATTTCAAAGATTTCCCCTCCTCGACTCCTCGACTCCTCGACTCCTCGGTCCTCCGGTAGTGACCCGGAAATGAATTTCATCACGCCATGTTGAAGGACATCTCATTTCTCTAAATGCACATCGAGGATCGAGCGTCGAGGAGGCTCTCTGGAGGAGCTATAGAGGAGACACTGATGGGTCCTCCACGGTCCTCCACGGCTCCTTCGTGGATGCATTTCCGGCAACAGAGATGTTTCAAAGAGTCGAGACGCACGGCCGGACTGATCTCAGCCAATCACAGCTCTGCATGCATCCCCTGGATATTATTTTAGTAACTGCTTTCATCGCAACGCGATGTTTACAGAGAGAACAGCTGTGAGGTCCGTGCAGAAAGCAGAGCAGTGTGTATAATATATATCACTCAGTATCACAGGCCGACTCTCTTTATTTGCTTTAGTTTAGTAGATATCTACAAACAAAGAGTCCAGATGTTTCTAAAACCATTTAGTGCTTCACAAAATAAAATACACAACGGCTGTAGCCTGATTATGCTTTAGGAGCTGTAGGTGCGTGTGTGGTGTAGGTGTGTGTGGTACAGTGTGTAGGTGTGTGTGGTGTAGGTGTGTGTGGTACAGTGTGTAGGTGTGTGTGGTACAGTGTGTAGGTGTGTGTGGTGTAGGTGTGTGTGGTGTAGGTGTGTGTGGTACAGTGTGTAGGTGTGTGTGGTACAGTGTGTGCGTAGATGCAGCGGACAGACAGGTCTCAGTTGGTTTGGTGTCCTCTGATTACTTTTAATACTTGTAAATAAAACTTTTGGCCCGTCATTTATTTCCCTCATTGTAGCGACCAGAGAGGGGGGGGGGATATATCCAGTCTCTGATAGGGTTACGTTATTATGAGAGTGCTCTGTTTGATTCTGAAATTGTATATATTTATATAAATATATATGTGTGTGTGTGTGTGTGTGTGTGTGTGTGTGTGTTGTGTGTGTGTGTGTGTGTGTGTGTGTGTGTGTGTGTGTGTGTGTGTGTGTGTGTGTGTGTGTGTGTGTGTGTGTGTGTGTGTGTGTTGTGTGTGTTGTGTGTGTGTGTGTGTGTGTGTGTGTGTGTGTGTGTGTGTGTGTGTGTGTCTGCATCTGCAGCCTGTTATTGTCTCATTATACCGCACTGTGAATGAATCAAAGTAAATATAGAAGTGGTCATGAACACATCTGTCCATCAGACAGAGGGCTACTGTGCCTCCTGTCATCATTAATGGACGTCTCTTTAAAATGACCGCTCAGAGGAGAGGAGTTCTCATTTCTCTAACCGCCTGCTGCTTGCCCTCCTCTCTCCTCGGCTCCTCTCCTCGAGTCCTCCGCTCGCATCTCCTGTGGGCGGGACTAAGTCTTGAGAATAGGAGTCGAGGATAGGAGTCAATAGTTCCTGCAAACATTAACTGATAAACTGCACAATAAGATAGACATTAAATATCGTCATACAGATGCTAACAACCTCATGTTACCTCGTATTGTTTTTCACTCAGGATCATATCCCAGTGTTTAGTCCGGAAAACGGTAAAAATGTGCATTTTATTATAAAGTTGGGTATATTTAGGCTGCAGGGACTTTTGCAAAAACCAAGCAGCTTCTAAACATCAGATTTTACAAAAAAGAAACACCATTAAAGATTTGTTGGGTTTTATTCCGAGAGATGCTGATTTCAAACCTTTGTTACGAAAGTTACGGCATTTCCTGGGTGTGGTTTGGAATTGGGCCTGAGACTACAGACGGAGTTCACTCCATCACGGAGGGGGAGTGGGTGTGGGTTTGGAATTGGGCCTGAGACTACAGACGGAGTTCACTCCATCACGGAGGGGGAGTGGGTGTGGTTTGGAATTGAGCCTGAGACTACAGACGGAGTTCACTCCATCACGGAGGGGGAGTGGGTGTGGTTTGGAATTGGGCCTGAGACTACAGACGGAGTTCACTCCATCACGGAGGGGGAGTGGGTGTGGTTTGGAATTGGGCCTGAGACTACAGACGGAGTTCACTCCATCACGGAGGGGGAGTGGGTGTGGTTTGGAATTGGGCCTGAGACTACAGACGGAGTTCACTCCATCACGGAGGGGGAGTGGGTGTGGTTTGGAATTGGGCCTGAGACTACAGACGGAGTTCACTCCATCACGGAGGGGGAGTGGGTGTGGTTTGGAATTGGGCCTGAGACTACAGACGGAGTTCACTCCATCACGGAGGGGGAGTGGGTGTGGTTTGGAATTGAGCCTGAGACTACAGACGGAGTTCACTCCATCACGGAGGGGGAGTGGGTGTGGTTTGGAATTGGGCCTGAGACTACAGACGGAGTTCACTCCATCACGGAGGGGGAGTGGGTGTGGTTTGGAATTGGGCCTGAGACTACAGACGGAGTTCACTCCATCACGGAGGGGAGTGGGTGTGGTTTGGAATTGGGCCTGAGACTACAGACGGGAGTTCACTCCATCACGGAGGGGGAGTGGGTGTGGTTTGGAATTGGGCCTGAGACTACAGACGGAGTTCACTCCATCACGGAGGGGGAGTGGGTGTGGTTTGGAATTGGGCCTGAGACTACAGACGGAGTTCACTCCATCATGGAGGGGGGGAGTGGGTGTGGTTTGGAATTGGGCCGAAATGAAACATGAAGCACGCCAGGTGTGTGCAGGTGAATGATTTTGACTCAAACTTGATCCTTTTTATTTGTAAATTAACGTAATGTTGTTTTCTTAACACAGATTAGTCCCCCTTACTAAAACCACCGTTTGTTAGTATTTGTATATTTTGAACGAACAGGTGTTTTTGATTCCGACAATGTTAAGTAATTTTGCCTTTTGACTAACTTAAAAGCGTTGTCAACATGCATCACTAACTTGTTCTCAAATGTACAAAATTAGCAATAAAAGATAAGAGTAAAGCTGGGATATTTATGTCCGTGTGGGTGTGCTGTCATTCACCCAACACTGAAGGAGTTCCCAGCAGCCAAACATCAAATAAACTGAAAAGTTATTTTGTATTCTTAATCGGGTGATTGTTTCTATGCCGAATTCATCCCAAGACTCATAATTGTTCAGAATACATATCTAAAGGTTTAGAAAGATATTAATTAGCTGCACATAAACAAGATTACCTTTAATTCTCATGATTTCTATATGGAGTCTGGTAGTCCTGCCTCAAACTTGATGAGTCTGCTTTGTTTTGCTCTTTTATAAAACCCTTCTTACTCGTTAAAACAACCATGGATGTTTAATATAAATCTGGATGTTATACTGAGTAATTCGGTATTAAAAAATGTTATATAAGAAACAGACCATTAACCTGTTTCACACCTTCCCCCCGGTACCGGGCGGATAAACGCGTCATTTGCAGGAAACAACGTCTAAGGAATCTTAATATTGAATAAAACTATGAATGTGTTATATCCATGTAACGGGAAGAAACTCAGCTAACTGATCTTTTTAATTTTTTTTTTCAAAAAAACCCCACAATGCTAGCACTCAGCCTCTGAATTAGCCTCGACGAAAAAACGTAACCTACAAAGGCACATAAACTCACAATAACTCCCTTATTACTTATCCTAGATGCACAACCAACCACTCTTTTTTGGTGTCCTGGAGACACTGAATCTAACGGTGCCCTCCTCAACACTCAGTGATAAACATTCGCGACGCTCTAAACGAAAGCGTACATCATCACATGTGGAGCTAAGAAGCTAAACACGTAAATATGGCTTACCTTGGTCAAAAGTGGTCTTCAATGGCATTAAAACGATAAAAAAACGATGCTGCAGTTAATCCATAGGTTCATCCTATGTGTCTGTGCCTTCTTTGAAATTATTTCTGATAATCCATAAGCAATACAACTGCGTTTTAGTTTCCAAACTCCAGAAGGAGACATTCCTCCACTTTGGTTTCGTTTTCCACACGCGAAGCAACCACATTTTTTCTTTACAACGTGTCTGGGTGGGAGCCTCCCCCTTCGATTCTATTGGCTCTAACGGTCACAAGGGTATGTCAACCAACCAAATCGAGCAAGGGGGGCCAGAGATAGGTCAAATCCACCCAAATGACCCCAGATGGCCCAGTTTTTGGCTAAATCTCTCTAAAAAGGTCAAATTTCACTTGTTTTGCATCAATCTTGATACAGGGTACTTATTATATGTTGTACTTTGGATTCCTAAAGCTTTTAGTCTACTAACCCATCATCCAAGGGTAGTTTTCACTATCTGTAAAAAATAATTTTTGGACGGACACTATAATTTACAGTTTTTTACTATGTAAAATCTGAATTTTCTTTAAAATAAAAAACATTTATATTGATTCTGACACTTCTACATCCAACTCACAGGTTTATCATTACTTTGAGAAAAGATTATTAATTTAACCCTTTTAGAAGGGAAGATATGGTCATTTGTTCTGGGAATGTCATTTTCGAGCCTGAGACCTGAAAAACAGGCTCAGAGTGGAACAGGTTAAAGTAAAAGGGCATTTTTTCGTGTTTGGGTCTGCAGTCAAACTAACTGAAAAGTTAAGGTTTCAAAAAATATATTCTTAATGGATGATTATTTCTCTGCCGAATGAACACAAAGACCCAAACCTATTCAGATATATCTCCTAAGATATTCATTTGCTGCCCTTAAATAAGATTACCTTTAATTCTCATGATTTCTCAATGGAGTCTGGCGAGCCATGCCTTTTTCGTAAATCTTCTCAACATGTTAAAACAACCACGGATGTTTAATATAAACCTGGATGTTATTCTGAGTAATTCGGCTCACATTTTGGTGCTTGTTTCTTATTATTTAAATAGTGGGCCACAGGGTTGTATTCATGTGTCTGTAATTCATGCAATGTTTCCTTTGTAAACCCTTCATACATTCAATGCATTATTATTATGGTCTGTGCATGTTCTATTAAAGGGCCCATGTCATGGCCATTTCCACTGATCATAATTACATTGTTGAGGTATACTAAAATAGATTTATACTGTGCAATTTTACAAACTCACATTGGTTTCGCATACAGCATCTCTGTCAAGTATGTGTATTCAGCAGTATTCACTCTCTCCACTAAACGACTCGTTGGAGCTCTTGCCCCCCCCTCCCTGTGAGCCTAGTGTGCTCCGATTGGTCAGCTCGGCCACTCTGTTCTGATTAGTCAACCACCAGAGAGGCTGCGCCCATGTCTAACAGTGCTTTTTTCGGCTCGCTCTCAGCGGAACATCAGTCTTATAATGGCGTCGGTACAGCCGTATATTTTATACGCTAACTAACCGAACTGTAGCTACAACTGTTGTTATAGAAGAGTGTGACGGCCCCAGGGCCTTTGTCTTACGATGGGGTGGAGCTGAAGAGGCTAATCAGCGCGATCACGGACACCTCCGGAGCCGAGGTGCTAGCCAGCTGCCCGGAGTCACACGGCGGCCCCTCTCTCTCTCCAAAGCGGCTCGGCGATCCTCTCCCCTCGACCACCTATCTCTGCATTTACCACAATAAATGTGCCGTGGTTTTGTAAACTCGTGTATGTCTCCTTGTCTTTCCGTTGTGACCTACGAGCCGGTCATAACAAAGAGTAAGTTATTTTTACCCGTTATAAACTACTACTGTTTGATGAGAAATCAAATCATGGTTTGCTATATATGAATGATATGTTATAGGAGCAAATAATTCAGGGAAGAAAGGATAGGCCTACTAAGTATTTCCATTCAACTTTATTTTTAGAAATGTACAAAATGAACGTAAATATACATATATACACGGTATATCATCAATTCCTCCCCGTTGTCGGCATCTTGCCTATAGCAGCCGGTGCTTTTTAGGACGAGGCCTCAGTGTGGTCGTCCCGTCATGTATTGTCCGGCAGGATCTGGCTGGACGAAATCAAATGCAAATCACAAAATATTAGAGAAACTTAGTTGTTTTAGATTCGTTAGTAGTAGTTGTGGTAGGAGTCTATCTAATGAACACAGTAGCTTGCCAGCTAATATGCTAACCTAGCTTTGTTTACCTTGGTAGCTAACACGATATGAACGCTAGCTCGGAGGAACGGCAACTATAATGTAGAGTAATAAAACTACTATGAACAAAAGCTAGTGGTTCATATTAGGCTAGCAATAACGTGTTTATAATTGCAATCTTATACGGGTATTCTGCTACGTTCGGTCATTCATTGTAACTGGCATGAATACATTGTTTTTGCACTAGCATACAGCTAGCCTCGAGCTATACATGCAGTATATGTACGGTCACAATGTACAGTAAATCACCCGGAGTATACTGTATGAGTATTCCGTGTGTGTGACTGCAGACATTCTCCTGCCATGACAAACATGTAAGGCCATCTGCTGACATTGTAGTTGATATATTTAAACGCTAGCAACGTCGTTAGCCCAGTAAGCTGGGCTTGTTTAGTGTAATAAAACCACTATGAAAAAAAGCTAGTGATTCATATTACGCTAGCAAGAACGTGTTTACAATTGCAATCTTATACGGGTAGTCTGCTACATTCATTGTAGCTGGCATAACACAAATGTTTTCCCGAGCAAACCCATGTCTAGCTCCGTTGGTTAGCTCGGTAGCATACACGCTACGCCAGCTATAATGTAATTACGCTTCACCCGGAGTATACTGTCTATGAGTATTTCGTGTGTGAATGCAGACATTCTCCTGCTATGAGATACATGTATGCAAGGCCATCTGCTGATATTAGAGTTGATATATGGAAACGCTAGCAACTTAGTTAGCACAGTTAGCACTGTGTCAATAGCTTAGCAGCCTGACAGAGTTTATACATTTAAACAGTCTTGTTTGATAAATACACAAATAACAATGCAAACTTACAGGTTGTGTACCCGAATCTTCCCCTGCTCCAAACGGTCCAAACAAGCTGTGCATATCCGGCCTCAAACTGGGCAATGTTTTGGAAGCTTTCGTCTGTGAAATGCCGCGCCCACAGTAACGTTCTTCGAACCTCTGAAGGAACAGTGTTAAAAAGAAATGTCAACCACTGACTTCGTCGTGGTTCTTCCGTCGGTAGGACAAACAGCTCAGATTTCTCCTCACATTTCAGGAAACAGGTCCTTGGCAGTGGCATGACTGGATCGATTGTGAACTGAACCAGAGCTTCCAACAGTAAATGTTAGGCTGGCAGAGGGTGCGGCCAGCGCCGCTGGGTGTGGCCATCGCTCTTCGGGATTGGTCCATTTCGTTCCGGGTACCGCATGACATCATGCCGTACCCGGAACTAAATGGAAGACTCAAATGGGCAGTGACGTATCTCCAACGAGGCGTTTTGGGGAGGTATTTTCTGTGTTAGAGTTTTACTCGCTACAGGGTGTACTTTGAGGGTTTTGACTCTGCACACCGTTTACATGCATAAAAACCTTCAT